CCAGGTTGTAGAACAATCCAGAATTGACAAGGATCTTCCTACAACCTGGAGAAGTTTCAACATATTTACTAACATTAAATGTATCCACCTTGTGAGTGTAGCGTATGAGTAGTGGAATGAGTAATGCGGATTTTCCTTCCATCTCAAATGCTGTCTAGTTTCTGATCTTTTTCCATCCCTACACTCCCATCAATTTTATAATAAAATATTTGGTTACTAACGTTGCTGATGGCTGAACATTTACACTGGAAATTCATCAGCAGAAAATAAAATGCACTGAGGTAGCGTTGTTAAACAAGTTTTATAAATATGCAGGGACAAAAAATAAATTGACTGTTTCTACAACCTGCATAAGTTTCAACATGTTTACTAACAATATATACCTTAGTGTGAAAAAGCTGTTAAAGGAACAGTTACTACCGAGGGTAAATTTCTATACGATCCTGATGCTGGTAAATATTTTGAAATTTCTTGAGGTTAAACATTTTAGAAACAATTCATTCAATTTTGATATATATTTTAATTCAGAATGTATAAATAATTATCATATGTCAATTTTCTATCTAATGAGCATATGTATGGATCTCATTTAGTAACACTTCCTCGGTGATTTTTATTTACTGCTGATAAATTTCCAGTGCACAAATTCAGCCACTAGCAACGCTGTAGAGAACGAGTGACCAATGAGAAGACAGTAAAATGCACCTAGTAAATCGTCTAATTCCAGTGCGCGTACTGTATCATCTGATGTATGGATCGTGACATTCCTACGTAGGTCTTCTTTCACATCTTCGGTCCACTTTTGTATGAGTCCACTTCCCATAATACGGACAATTCTGTATAAATAATCGTTAATAAAATTTTCGTTTTAATATATATTAGAATCTATAACAAACACGCTAGAGAAATAGGACTGAATTGATTGTCTAGATACATCTTAATCAAGAAGTATTCAAAGAAAAATATAGAAATTGATCAACAACACTGTGAAAACTAGATATTTGGAATTAATGGATCTCGTATTCAAGCAATAAATTGATAAGCGGCTTAATACTAATGGGCTGATTACGTGGGTTTAGAAATTAATATATATATGTATCACGATGAGTTCGAGAGATAATTTTTTCACAGCTTACAAATAAAGATGTAAACCTTATTTCCCGAACTCTTTAAACAACGAAAATTATTATTAAATACGTGATATATTTAGTATGAAATTCAGGATACATAAGATATCTGTGGTAGTTCATAACTTACACTTTGTTGAACGATCCCTTATAAGGACATCCTTTCTGTAAGGGAATTGCTAAAGCAGCATTCTCCAAAGAATCCCTGGCAAAGTGAAACCTGTCTTCTCCTATTTTTACTGTTAGAAACTGCGTCCAGTGAAAGGCACTGATATAGGCGTAATTACTTTTCAAGGCCCTCAATAACCCTAAGTTATCGTTTTCTACAACGTTGCTGGAATCACTTCGAGCTGGTTTGCCTAAAATACCATAAACTGGATCATTTGGATCCTGTAAATCATAATTAAAATATAATCAAACATTTTATACTTAGGAGCTTTCTTCAAATAAATAAGGCTAAAGGTTTGTAATTCTGCTAAAAGCACTTCCAAAATTTATAACTATATAACAGAGGAATAAGTGCTAAAACATATTTTGTGAATAATAAAAGTGATTTTATGAAAAAGACAGTCAAAAACTGCTTCGTACAGCGACTTTCAGTTATACCTGGACTTGACGTATAAGGAAATTGTCAAGAAATTAAAAATGCGTAAGTTTGGATACTTATATTACGACACTTACTTAAACATATAATTTTATATTAGATATTATTAGTTTATAGTAATATCAAGTAATGAAATCACAACTCCTTTAAACGATGAACTTGAAATATTGCGATAGTGATTTTTGATATATTTTCCTCTTTACTCTTTCACGGGGAAGTGAAACAGGTTTATTATTCTAAATACGATATGCTATGATCCATAAATATCAAGCATTTCTCTCGAATCTTTAGAAAAAGAGTCACTTTCAAGACGTATTTAAATAAAACGATAAACGCGACTTTGTTATTATTATTAAGGATTTACAGGTTGAACCAAAATAAGTTGTGATATCATGATAAACATAAAGGTTTTGTTTGTTTGTATTTTGAATTTCGCGCAAAGCTACACGAGGGCTATCTGCGCTAGCCGTCCCTAATTTAGCAGTGTAAGACTAGAGGGAAGGCAGCTAGTCATCGCCACCCACCGCCAATTCTTGGGCTACTCTTTTACCAACGAATAGTGGGATTGACCGTCGCGTTATAACGCCCCCACGGCTGAAAGGGGATGATTGGTGTGACGGGGATTCGAACCCGCGACCCTCAGATTGCGAGTCGAACGCCGTAACCACCTGGCCATGCGGGGCCTAACATAAAGGTACATTTGTTGTATACATTATTCTTTCAACTCATTTTCCTTTAAAGGTAATAAATATTACTTCTAAGTTTTTTATACACTTGTTAATATTGATTAATGCTCCATTTCGTTTTTATTTACATTTTAATAGCTACAAGCATACAATTAAATTTTTGTCTCATCAACATCTTTGTAATAAAACGTGTTCTCCCAGTTTTGTTTGTCTGTGGCGAGCAATTGTAGTAAACATTCTATACTTTATCGTAAAAACAAATAAAACATTTCAATTTTGTTTTTCGGTATCGTATTGTATAACATTACAACACCAGTTTTGTATCACTCTGTAATAACAATGAACATGCTATCTTCGTGTGTTTTTCTGTACAGAGTAATAATGACAAACATGCGCCCTCTTTCGTCCTTCTATATTTTATGGTAACAGTGAACATGTCATCACTCCTTTGTCTGTCTGTGTTATGCAACAGTATTGAACACGACATCCCAACTTGTTTTTCTTAATAGTTTATAATAGTAAAGAGCATGCCGTTTCGGTCATACTGATAACATTTGGGACATTAATGATTCAAGATTGTAATTTTGTGGAATATAACCTCTTATTTATAGTGCTTATAGGTTAATAACTGTGATGTTTTATTTATTAATTTCCTACGTACAGGTTAATCAAATCGACAGTGTTAATATGATTTGTGAACCAGTCATTCAAAACACCTGACGTTATTTTTTAAGCGTAACGATTATAGCACTTTGTAAGTTTTAATAGCGCTAAAAACAAGAACAACGACAATTTCTAAAGGTAATTTTGAATGCGCATAATGCGGGCATGTTCGTGAATGAACGTTTAAAAACAGCAAAAAACAACTGTATACAGTTTTCAGAAGAGCTAGCAACATCCTTGACACAATTTATCCGATGGAAACTGTTAATCTCACGTGAAACATTATAAACTATAGAAAACTTGAGTATTTGTGTTAGTTCGCTGTGTAATAACAACACCAACTATCCTATATATATATATATAATGTCGATAAATGATGTGATAAAAATCGTAGAAGAAGTTTGATATATTCTAAAACTTTCTATAACTACTTATAGGTATCGCTATGTTGACCAACAGATGGCAGTGTAATGCACGAAGTATTAATAATTAATTAAAATGGTTCATCCTACTTACCATGAGTCTCTGTTGTAGGAATGCTCCTTTAAGGACTCCACACGAATATCGTCCTTTTAGAATTTCTGTCTTCAGGTCGTAGACGGTGTCGATCGGTTGTTCCTTTGTAAAAATAGTCATGTGTGACATCAACGTGCCACTGTATGACGCAGAAAATATTACAGCAATAAACCACCAGATGGCTAGGAAAACTCTTACACTGCAGTAATTGTATAAGGATATCCTACCACCTAAAATAAATCAAATCAGAAAATATAAAACGAAAAATAAATCGCTGTTGACTAACTCAATTTTTTTAATGTAAGTAAACATGACTACGTTTACGACTCTTCAGTAACGTGTTACTTGTTTTTCTAACCTAACCCTTGTATTTACAGTTTCATTGCCACTGGTAACCCGATGAAGGGCTGTTGCCCGAAACGTTGTTTTTTGCCACTACTTTATATTCTATTTTGCATTTTATTATTTCCTCGCCTACGCAATTATATTATTACTAGAACTATAACACGTTATATTCTACGTTTACCTTTGCAGCATTTTTATTTATTAACATAAAGGCATGTATAAATATCTAAATATATTACTCATTTCATGATATTTGACAAAAACTATGAAAAATCGCATGGACCAAAAATGGATACTTGGACTTAGATAACACATTTTGATCCAAACAAGGTATTCTAAAAATTGTTTTCTCTGTTAAAATTCCATTTTTTTTCTTCCTTTTTTATAGTTTTTCTTACATTTGTAACTGAAAACAAAGAGGATGTTATGAAGTCGAAATTAAATAAAAATTATCCTTACACTTCCTGTGCTCTTCGTATTATTACATATTAACACGATATTAACATTGGTATCTTTAAATCTGAAAGTAATTTTATGTTAGATATTGGCTTAATGTCCGTGCAAAAAACTTCCAAAATTCAGGCATAGCCATCCTTAATTTAAAACTCCCGACCAGTCAAATTATAACGCTTTCAAAGCTTAAAGTGTAGAGCGTTTTCAGCGGCATATCACGTGCCGTACCTTGGATATTCTGGGCCACAGCACAGCGCGCCAATTCCAGGCCACGCCCAGCTCTCCGTCAAAACACAATTTTTTTGCAGGAAATTAAAAAAACATAAAAAAAGCGCCAAATAAAAACATTATATGTCTAACTTGAAATGTATTTGCTTGCTTTATTGTAAATGTTACTAAATATATTTATATTCTGTTTAAACTTTTTTTTCATGGTTCATGTAAATGAAGTTAGGAATTCACATTCTTAGAAATTTCACCAATTATTTCTGTCGCTGAATTGAAAGCTTTAACTTCTAACCTTACGTATTTGCATATGAATCATTTAACCACCAGTTATTAGTTAACAAATTATTGAAGCTGGGGTATTTTGAAAGAAGAAATATTTCGTGTGAAAAACTAAAAATGTTTACTTTTATTCGTGAAAGTAAAAATCTGTCTTACCTTGAGAAACAAGACACCCTGTCACATACCATAATGTATTTGCCCATTGGTTGTATCTGTTCCGAGTATCCATTATGATGGAAATGAAAGTAATAACAGATGTAGTCACAAGTACAGACAGCAAAACACCCAGCCAGACCTGTAAATAAAACGATAATGAAATGAAAAAAAATAAGATGCACCTTTCACTGATACACTCATTTTACATTATAGATTAGTGTTTGAAGTTATCAGAGTATTTCAAATATTTGTTTCTTATTCGACGTTATAGCTGAAATAAAAAGGTCAAGTTACGAACAGGATAAAGGTCACTTCTTAATCAGTTTAGATCCCCTACCATAACAGTCAATAAAGAAGATTACCCATTCCCTGTCTATTACAGAGAATTACTAGGATTACTCATTGTCTGTCATTACAGACAGCGATTAGGTTTAACTCCTTCTTTGTTACTACAGAGTTTCAGGAACTGAGTTGGCATTCTAAGTAAATTCAAACAGCTCATGCGAGTATTTTATATTATGTAGTTTAATAGCAACAAGTTGGATATAAGCTATTTGTAATTTGGTTTTCCTCTCATTATTTATTTAGTTCTTGTTTTTGTGATATCTCCATGTCATATGATCTCTACAGTATCTTTATAATTATGATTCAAACAAATTTTGAAACATGCAGCAAAGAATTGTGTACCTTACATACGTTTTACTGAATATTAGAGTAGTTAAGATCAGACGAATTTTGATAAACATTCAAATAATATGCAATAGTGAAAGCCAGCATCCACTAACTACTTAGATATTACAGCAAAGTTGGGTGAAATATATACGTATATTTATATGTTCTTAGTCATTTCACTATCAAAGTGTATTAAATGAATATGCTCCAAGTGCCATGAAGGAGGTTTTTAGTCAGCAGATTTTTCCGGTGTTTTAACAGTGAAAATGCATATTTTCTGTTTAAAATGGTTTAAGAATAACAATACCATTGTCTTTGAATTGCCTGTCCATACATTTGTACATCTCAATTTCCCAATTCTCATTGTCTGACTATGATTTGAAAATAACAATATAAAGGTCTTGGAATAGATTTCCCAGAAATCAGTTTTTCACTTTATAGAACATTTTCAAAATCATCTTCAAAATTTACTCTGAAAGGCACTCCAAACTTTTCCAGTCTGTATTATCTGGTTTAACTTTTAAAGCAACAACGGCTTCTTCTTGTGCCTCATAGATTCCAAGACGGTTTTACACTGTTATAACACGATTACTAGGTCTCCACTTTGTCTTTATGTCCAGACACATTTGACAGCTATGAAATATAAAGGATTAGTCTCAACTATATGTTTAATGTTCTGTATTTATTTTTATTGTAACTAAAAGTTTGATAACACAGAACAAAAAAAGTATAAATACCCCAACCAGCTGACTGTTGTATTCTGGCTGAAAATTTACTATCGTACATTAACACATAACATTATATAATCATGCAACTCACCTGCCAACTAAATGGTTTGATGATGGCTAAAGCTCTATCTTTGTTTTTTGGAGCACTGGTAACGAAACGCACCGAATCGTAGACATACGGTGAGGTAAAATCAACTGCTTCTTCTCTTTCTTCTGTAATAACTATTGAATCGATAGCGATATCTGCTTCCTATAGAAAGTTAAACAAGGAAAATAATATTGAATTCTATAAGAAATTTATACCGAAAACTTTGCAGTATTTCAGCTGACACTCACAATACAAACAGATTAAGTAACCTATAAACAAAATCCAAACATCCAATTCCTTAAGGCTCGCATGGCCAGGTGGTTAGGGCGCTCGACTCGCAATCTGCGGGTCGCGGATTTGAATCCCCGCCCCACCAAACATGCTCGCCCTTTCAGCCGTGGGGGCGTTATAATGCGATGTTCAATCTCACTATTCATTGGTAAAAGTGTAGTCCAAGAGTTGACAGTAGGTGGTGATTACTAGCTGCCTTCCCTCTAGTCTTACACTGCTAAGTTAGGGACGGCTAGCGCAGATAGCCCTCGTGTAGCTTTGCGCGAAATTCAAAAGAAACAAACAAACAACTCGAAATAGCGCTTATTCATATCAAAATTTTAGTTTCAACTGACTTTCACAATTATTAAACATTATATTACATAATTTGAATTACCACGAGATTATGAATGTCTTAAGTATTATTTCCCTACCTCTGCTCTCTAATGTTTTCGTATCTCAGTTGACTTATGATTTTTATCAGCAAAATAAGCACGAAATTTTAATTTCTCTGCTAAACCAATTAGGTGCCGTTTTTAATATAATTTTCAAGCTACTGCTTGTTTTTGTTTTTAATTAAGCACAAAGCTACACAATGGGCTATCTGTGCTCTGCCCAACACGGGTATCGAAACCCGGATTCTAGCGTTGTAAGTCCGCAGACAAACCGCTGTGCCACTGGGAGGCCTCAAGCTACTAAAGTCTGTTGACGTTATATTATACCCACCATACCAATCCTAGATTGTTGATCATACTTCTTTACTATTAAATATTTACATTCCTCTCAACAATACCGATCATATTTCTTCTATATTGTTTTTCTTTGTTAATTTTCCTGGGAACCACGCCAACCATGTAAATCCAAGATTGTTGACTTGACTTTCTGTGAACCGTACTAGTTATACCATTTCATATTGCTAAATTACATTCGTGTGAACTACACTGATAATATTATTTCATATTGTTGACTTACCTTCCTGTGAACCATACCAATCATTCCAGTCCAAGATTTATTTGATAGTTTTGTTCCCCACTCATTATCTTTCGGTGATTTGATGACATATCTGAAAAAATATCCTAATTACTTTATCAACATTTATTTTGTATATAGATCATGTAACACCCGGCAACGAAAAACTCAGCTACTAGAAAACATGCAACTGTTTCTGACTAATTTGACTATCTAACGATGCTGATTCTAAAAAATTGTGTTGACAATTATTTATCACCTCTAGTTTTCGAGTTATGATAGATTTATTCAAAATATTCATATATATATCGTGAAAATAACTTTTTCTTTAATAACTTTATTTATTCATTAAAACTTCTATTTAAGAATGTTCAAAAACAATACATAATAATAATAATACCAGTTTAAAAAAACAATGAGTATAATATGATTTATATACTGAAAATACATTCAGGATATGTTCAAAACTTCAATCCTTGTTTTGATTTTTATTTTTAGTCACAAAATAGCTGCTTGACCTGTTACATCCTTTGTGTATGTTCTCAGATTCACTCTATAAGAACCAACAGCAATCTTCCATCATCACAGGATTCCATCGTCCTTGTTCCATTGTAGAAATATCTTGGCCGAAGCGCTCACCATGCTCATCGCATCTAGATGATTTGGAAAGAAGTCTAAATGGGAAGGTAAGAAGTGAATCTTTAGTGACATCCAAGACCCCATGTTCCTGTAGTTCTCGAGCATATCGTCTATCATCATAGCATAGTTTTTATCTCTGTGATTTCCTAAGAAAGTTTTGACAACCAGTTTGAAAGATTTTCAGGCAGTAAGTTCTTTATGATTGAGTACTGTTTCAAAATTATCCTCCATTAACACTTCCCGAAACTTTGGCTCAACAAAGATGTCTCCTCTTACTTGTACTTCACTAATATTTGGAAAGTTGTCTGAGAGATATCTGAAACCATTACCAACTTTATTCATTCCTTTTACAAAATTATTCATGAGTCCCATTTTAACATTAAGTGGAGGTAGAAATACATTTTGGGAATTCATTAAACTTTGATACTCAATATTCGGTTTCCCTGGTATGTAATCCTCTCTCACTGGCTGTTCCTTCTTTTTCAAATGACTTTTATCATTTCAGCTGACCCAGAGACACAAAAAGCAACAATGTTTGGTATATCCACTCTGCAGGCCTAGCAGGAGTGCAAAAACTTTTAGATTACCACATTTGTTCCATCTATGGTGATCATATGTGATGGCCTCTAGTATAATCTGCATGCTTTGGTAAGTTTCTTTCTTGTTCACAGCATGAGACACAGGAATCCATGGCTCAGTGTTCTCATTGTGCAAAACTTAAATGAGTTGATAAAAAGTCTCCATTCTTGAAGATGATGTTCAGTACCTAATTCTTCCATTAGTGCATCAACATTTCTACAGAAACACAAACTATCTTGCATGCTGTAGTGAGAAAGGAGACTTTGATGGCGACTTCAGTAAATTGAAACTATTGTTTCTGGAGCTCTTTTCTTATTCAGCCACTGTGTCAAGCCAGATGTGTAAACTGTACAACACCCATTTGGAGCCCAATGTGTTTTTGGGTCATCAATTTAACACCCCAAATAGTGGTAGTAAGCCACCTTTACCGTGCGTGTGATGTTTATCCTTCGTGAAACTGTAATATATTTTTCACAAATCTAGCAGAAACTGTTTGGGTAATTTTTGCTTGACTTTACTTGAACTGGAGGCAGCCATGATTCCAAATGATTTTCTAAAAAAATATAAAATAATTTATCTTTACAGAACTAGAGTTTAGAAGATTTTACACAACAAAGTTTTGCAGAATTTGATTATATGGCGGGTATGATGTGAGGAAGATCGGACTTTGTTTTGACTGTGCACTGAACGTGGCGAAGTGACCAACTGAGTGAGTGAGACGAGGGACTTCTCGAATTTTCTAGCAAACTGAGCACATGAGGGTTTCGTGATTCCATGGCTGAGAGGTGAGCGTGGGAATGAAGCATAAGTGGTGCAATTCGCTACATATAGCGTATATGAACAATATAGCTGGAATTTTACACCAATACAATACACTCAATGTTTGAAGGTATTAAAAATATATGCCTTTTCCATTAAAATGTTCAAGTAAAAGTAATTTTACAGCTTAAACTCAGGATCTTTACCAGCCAACTCTCAAATTGAAATTTTCTTAGGCAGGCTTAGAGAAAGTTAATCTATGAGACCTTGGGCTGGTGAAATAAACCAGTCGAAAGGGTTTGACCTCCTGAGTCCAAAACTGTAATTAGATATCAAATCTGTCAAGAGATGATGAAGCAAAAAGCTAAAACAGTGTGTGCTTAATGTACAATGTTGTTCATGTTGGCGACACCTACGAACTCCACAGTGGCACAGCGTTAATATGAGGACTTATAACTCTTGATGGGCACAGCATAGGTAACCTATTGCGTAGCTTTGTGCTTAACTACAAACAAACAAACAAACGATCCTACTGCTATAGAACAATAAGGCAGCTTGACATTAAATTACTTCACAAATTTATTTATTTATCACACATGTTAAATAAAGGTGGCTCACCAAAAACAAGACGTTTTCTTAAAAGACTAGTTCTCAAATGGGAAGAAAAATAAAATAAAATAAATTTCGAAACTTATTCTGTCAGTGTGTTTTTGGTTACGCAGTTCATAACCTTGGCGTTCAATATCTCAGTGGTACAAAACAAGGTTGTTTAAAAACTAATGGTCAGGATTTTACTGGTACAAAACAAGGTTGTTTATAAACTAATGGTCAGGATCTTAGTGGTACAAAACAAGGTTGTTTATAACCTAATGGTCAGGATCTCAATGGTACAAAACAAGTTTGTTCATAACTTAGTGGTCAGGATAACAATGGTACAAAACAAGGTTGTTCATAACCTAGTGGTCAGAACCTCAATGGTACAAAACAAGGTTGTTTATAAACTAGTGGTTAGGATCTAAATAGTACAAAACACGGTTGTTCAAAACCAAGTGGTCAGGATCCCAATGGTACAAAACAAGGTTGTTTATAACCTAATGGTCAGGATCTCAATGGTACAAAACAAGGTTGTTCATAACCTAATGGTCAGGACCTCAATGGTAAAAAACAAGGTTGTTCATAACCTAGTGGTCAGGATCTCAATGGTATAAAACAAGGTTGTTCATAACCAAGTGGTCAGGATCTCAATGGTACAAACAAAGTTGTTTATAAACTAGTGGTCAGGATCTTAATGGTACAAAACAAGGTTGTTTATAAACTAGTGGTCAGGATCTTAATGGTACAAAACAAGGTTGTTTATAACCTAGTGGTCAGGATCTCAATGGTACAAAACAAGGTTGTTCAAAACCTAGTGGTCAGGATCTCAGTGGTACAAAACAAGGTTGTTTATAACCTAGTGGTCAGGATCTCAAAGGTACAAAACAAGGTTGTTTATAAACTAGTGGTCAGGATTTCAATGGTACAAAACAAGGTTGTTTATAATCTAGTGGTCAGGACCTAAATGGTACAAAACAAGGTTGTTCATAACCTAGTGGTCAGGTTCTCAATGGCACAAAACAAGGTTGTTCATACTCTAAATGAATACGTCGTGTACTGTGAAGATGTACTGCTCGTTAATATGTTTCTTAAACTGACATATTGCACTTTTGTTGTTTACTTCTCGAAACGAGTTGTTCCAATTTGAACTACAAGACATCATGGAAATATAGTTTAATATAGAGAATTTTTACTGAAGTGTTACTTTATTAAGAAGACTATCAGAAATACCCGTCATCCTGCGGGTATAACTGGTAGTTCCTGCGGAAGGCTATTGGGCCTGCGACCCTTTCTGGAATTGTCTGATAAGTCTACAACAATGTACTCATACTTGACATTCAATAATGTTCACCATCCATGAGAAAAAGAATTTTATTGAAGTTTTAGTTTTAAAATGAGCTATCATCACAGCATTAGGTCACAGGGTAGATTTTATTGAAATATTTCTTTGTAGACGCAGTTATCAATGAAAGTGCTCATGAGATTTTCACTAAAGAAAAACAAAAAATTTTTTGAAGTTTGTTTTTTTGATTGTTTTATATTTGAAACTTACTCCTTTTTCGTAATTTTTATTGGGTAAATCTGAAACATATCATTTTTTGTAGAAATTTCAATTATTTTATTTATTGCTCAGCTATAAAAATACTGCCTAGTTATAAAACTATTACCGAATTATGATTGGTGATGATCGGTCCGGTAGTTTCCGAGATCCGAGTTTTGAACGTATACATCGTAGGCTCCATTATAATAAGATTTACTTAAATTACAAATTACATAAACCATCTCTACCTTTAATTGTCGAAATATTTCATTATACTCAAGTGAGCTGGATACGTGAAATTAATATATTAGGTTTTATTATACATGTTTTTAACAATTCATTTATATTTATAAACGGTTTGAATTATATGTTTTCTAAATGAAAGATGTTTCACCTGAAGTTCAGCTTCTCAGCAAGGATATCAAGTAGTCCAACTTCCAGTCCATATTTAGGTGTTAAAGTTCCATTCGAGTGAACCTCCAGTAAAAATGAAGGGAAGAACTAAAGAAAGAAATTCAGAAGCATTTTGAGTTGGATCTTGTGAAATTTATCACGATATATTTTTTGTCTTGTAAACTATAAAAATGATGCTAATTGTTCTAATTTTTGAATTTCACCTTACTTTACTGGTTATTTGTCACTGTACGCCGTATATTACTGATTGTTTTCGCTGAATACCTTATATTACTGATTGCGTTTACTAAACATCTTGTTTGTGATACACATATAGTGTAAGTTATCATACCTAGTTTGGTCAATACTGCTGAACTGGATATAAACATTTATAATCGAATAATATTGGTTTTTTTCGGTTTCACTGTTAGTAACGCAGACTTCGCTCCTACTATGAACAATAAATATGCTTTTCAAACCATGGTTGTGTTTCTCAATTTTATTTTCAAAATAATATAATGAAGTATTTTACAGTTTCATAGTTAAATTTGAATGTGTTCTCCTAACGTATACTGTAACTCAGACTTTAAATGAACAAACTAAACCCGAGAAATTCTTCAATTGAAACATATATAAACATTTAAAACTCTAGATGTGTTCGAAAAAATATTTATTATTTAGCAGGAACACTTACACTGACAACAGAAACCACTAGAACTTCTTCTTTAAAATCACTCAAGTTCTCGTCTTCTATAAATGGCGATAATCTAGGCCTGAAGCCTTTCTCTGGAGTCCACTTTCCTATGAGATCGATTTCTGTACATCTGTATCTTGTTTTGGGAACTCCATATATGTTGTACTTTAGTTGAGAGAAGAAGAAAAATGACAGTTTGCGTTATTTTCAGTTAATAAATGTATTTGAAGGACCTAAGAAATTATCTTTTTATATTTTAGTGTCGATAGTGGTCTTATGGTTAGCTTGCCGGACTTTGGATTCGAGGTTCTATAGTTCGAATCCCATTACCCTGTCAAGAAATATATATGAATCGTGCTGTAAACTTTGAGGTCGTGGTTGCGTTATAAGAGCAATGGAGAAATCCCACTATCTGGTCTGACAGGAGCAGCTTGAAGGTTGCTGTGGGTAGTTTTTTCCCCTCTAGTCAAAATTAGGGATAGCTAGTGTAAGCAGCCCTTATAACTTTACACGAAATTAAACAAACAGTCTATATCTTAGAGTCACAGTTTTACATCTGTATGAGTGAGAGGTAAAAGACTATGAGACGCACATTTGCCAACCAAAACAAATAACTACTTCATATAGTCAGCCAAATAATTTGTAAAGAAAACAATGAAATATGAACGGACAAAAAAATAATAATAATATATAACAAACAATGCTTGTTGATGGTTTTACACTATAAAAATATATAAACAAGTATCAGCTTTCATAGATGAGAGCATTTTGCAGAGTGTAAAAACATGGTTTACAAAGATACATTCTAACAAATATATATACTCTTGATGACTTTGTTATAGCTGTCCCTAGAAAGTCTAGAAAAAAGCAGCAAGAACTAACTTTTTCCTGTACCAAATATGAAGTAAATATATCCCATCACGTGCAACGATAATTTGTAGAAAATGAGGGAAACTTTTTTTGCCCCATTTGATAAAATATTAATTCAGTTCCTTTTACAAAAGTGTAGGAGCAGTAAGTAATTTATAGAGCATGAAATTATCATCACTGACTTCTATGTATATAGATATATACACATTTAGTTGGTCAGCTATGAGGCAGCGATTTTCATATACGTAAATAAAAGTAGGAATTTTCAATCTGAATGACATCTTATGCGTATGAGGACTAAACGGCCAGGTCAGAAAGTTCAAAGGCTCCTACCTAAATTTGAACTATTGACCTGGGAGTTCGCAGAGAGCCAGCGGCACTCACTGGCACAAAGACTTTGTCCGGTTCTTTGAACAGGACTTCCACTTTTATGAAACATGCACAATTAAAATTACCGAGCGTTTTTAGTGTCATTACGTCTTGAACTTGGGATCCTTCGGTACAGAGCTAATCACGCTAACCACTCTGCCACAAAAGCCAACATTCAATGGTTTGTTTGCTTGAAGTTAAGCACAAAACTACACAATGCGCTATCTTACTCTTCCCACCACGGGTATCGAAACCCGGTTTCTAGTGTTGTAAGTTGTAAGATATTCCGCTGTGCCACTGGGGGGTAACTTTCGATAGAAGTAACTAAGCATGAAGTATGTCGTGCTAGGTTTCTAATAAATTTAAATATTTTCATACAAAGGTGGACAATTAAACTTTTGTAATATAAAAAAAATACGAATTTATTTTCTTCTATTGTTATTTAGAGGTTATGAACTAACGTAATTTTCAAAGAAATTATTTCATAATGTTTTGATTCACAACTTGATTTCAACAAATGTAAAACATAACTGATTTTATAAATACAAATTTCATTTTATGTGTCAGGGTAGTACTTCATGTTATCTATACCCGTAAATATTTAGAAATTTTACAAATTAATCCTGTTGTCCAGCCTCATATTTTACCTTTACCTACATTATTAGCAGTAGAGATTTATAAATGAAAAAGTAATGTTATATTTGCTCATTCTACCAGAGAAGGACAGTGATACTCAAATGAATCAGTCAACCGAAGTCTAATGATTATCTTAACCAAAGCTATTAGGCATAGTTTATGACCAGTTTTAAGGTTAGGATTTGAGGCAGTTAATTAATGAATAAGATCACCAGATGGGACTAGTACATCAATATAACATTCTTTTATAGTTTGCGATGAAAGTTTTCGAATACTTTTCATTGGCTGCTAAGCAGCAAAAATGGGCGAGGCTTAGTGGCCATGGGTCAAGTTGTCCAACTAAGACGTTAATTGGGTTGTGAAACTATTACTTTTCTACCAATTAGAGAATGTATATTCAGCTTAGTAATTAAGTCTACAACCAATGAAAGACAAAGGCTGTAATGTTTCTTAAAAACGATAGTGGTTGATATAGTCTAATGAAAATTGTTTATTTGTTTTATTTATTAGCTGATTCACTTCTATTGATTTAGTTACAGTAGTCTTATTGGAAGTTATTTGCTAATAATATCTGTTACAACACTGAATTAGTGTAAACGAAGTATTTTAGAATGAGTACGATTTTCTTTCCTTCTGGATTGACTGATACTGTATAGTAAATAACATTCCAAGTCTTAGTATAAAAAGGATACTGTATAGTAAATACCAATAACATTCCAAGTCTTAGTATAAAAATGTTAGTGGTAGAATTTTTCGCACTAAAATATAACATTTTATAATTCGTAGTTAACAAAAAACAATGTTCCTGTAGAATGATAAAACCATATATATAGGAATCTAAGTATTTACTGACCTGAATGTCTTTGTTGTCTCTTTGTACAATGGCCATTAAACACAAACACGGGATATTCAACTCACTAAGAGGAACTGTTTCTATTCGGTTGTAGTTGGGTATAAATAAGATCCAGCGCAAGTTTTGAAAACACGGTATTTTGAATAATGGCTGAAAATAAAGTTGGAAATCCATCATCAATAAATCTTTGAAAATTTATTAAAGTCGTGATAATAGTAGGCAACATCAAATGTATTTCTGAAGAGATTAAAAAGTGGACAATATGTCGAATGTCCAGAATATATGAGCTGTTTCAAGCTCAACAATATCTTGGAGTGATACTCAACATTCAAATATTTACTTTAACAATATTAAGTTTAAACTAGTATTATCGCTTATAAGCTGTATGTTTCATGCTCTTTATGGTAAATTATTTTTAGTCATTATTATTGAAATAATTTCAAGGTTTTGAGCACTATGCCTATCGGTGCACCATATGGAAACAATATTTTAAAGTTTAAGGTTCTGATAACCATGCTGATAATAGAGGAATAAGAAGTATAAAATATAAACATAAACTCATTCGATGTTCATTCAAGGACATGATGGTGGGCGGAAGTGAAGATAAAAATAACGCTGTTGATAAGTTATCAATGTTATACTAAAATCTACATAGTTTTTATCATATAATAAAATACACGAGGTTTGTTTACCAACTATTTGTTATTGCTTTTCAACCTGTTGTTTTAAGAAAAATTTTACCCATCAGTGTTTTTTTTTTTCAAATTATTGAAATTCAATAATTACACATTAACTACACTACTTTTTGTTGTATTAAACTGTTTCTCAATTACTGATTAGTCGCATTAATAAACTGCACCTCATATATTAATATTAAGTATTGTCTCTCCCCCCCCCCCCCAGTAACACAGTAGTAAGTCTGAGACGTTATAGAAGTGAAAATCAGATTTCAATATCAGCAGTGGACAGAACATAACATAGTTTCGAAAATATTAAGTATTTTGAAGTGCTTTCCATCTAACTGAACAACCTGACCTGAAGTAAAGACTGTTCTTCGTTCAATTCCAGGAACAAGAAGACAAAGGATTT